AATCCAGATTGTAATACGTCTTCTTTCTTCTAAACAAATCGTAACTAGATATAAATTAGCTAAGATCAAAAGTTTATTTGAAACTCCAAAAGCAAAAAGCAACCGTAAGCAAAAGTAAATTATGACGAAGCCTTCTAGATTTTCAAAAAACTGCTGATGTTTAAATGTTTTTGACAATTATAAATACTACCCAAGATTAGTTAATTTTAATTAAGAACACCTATAATTGTTGAGAGGACCCCCTCAGTCCTCACCACAATTCTAAACACACCAAATACTGAGCTTTCATGTTAATTATTATTTTAATTAATATATTCTAATGCGAATAATTGGTGTATTTAGTTCTTAACACCTATTTAATCCAATCCAGGCTTCACATTTGTGAGCTCATTACATCAATTTCAATTGTTTATTCACTAAATATCCATATAAGTATTTTATTCGTTTCAGTCATCACCCTAAGACTGCTTATTAAATACTATTGCCACTTTCTTGTTTCGATTCAAGAAAAATAAAAAAAGAATAAAGAAAAGCAGATTTGATCAATGGAATTCAAGAACTGTTGTTTCATTGTCTTTGTCACCCTCATCATTATCGCCGCCGCCGTATCTTCTGCCCCTTCACCCGGCTACCGGATTGGCTCCGGCGCGGCGGTTCTTGAAGACCAAATGATTCCATTTGGCGGCGGCGAATCAAGAACCGATCAGTTGGCCGGCGGCGGCGAGTGGGTGCTTCTACACGACAGCGTCGGCGTCTCCGCCATGCACATGCAGCTCATGCCGGACAACAAGGTGGTGATATTCGACCGGACGGACTTCGGAGCGTCGAACCTCTCCCTCCCCGCCGGCAAGTGCCGGTACAACGACGAAGTCCTTGCCGAAGACTGTACGGCCCATTCTCTTCTCTATGACATTACCACAAACACCTTCCGCCCACTCATGGTCCGGACCGACGTCTGGTGCTCCTCCGGCAGCCTCAACGCCAACGGGACGCTCATCCAGACCGGCGGGTACCACAGAGGTGGCCAGAAAATACGAACTTTCACTTCTTGCGGCGGCGGGGGGTGCGATTGGGTCGAGCTCGAGCAGAATCTCACGATTCAGAGATGGTACGCCACCGACCACATTCTTCCCGACGGCCGAATCATCATTGTCGGTGGCCGGCGAGCTTACAGCTATGAATTCTTTCCCAAGGTCAAGGATAGATTCAATGGAGTATATCAACTCCCGTTCTTGGTAGAAACAACCGACCAGAAAGAAGAAAACAATCTCTACCCGTTTCTGTATCTTTTACCGGACGGCAATTTGTATATTTTCGCCAATCAGCGTTCTATAGTTCTCGATTACCACAAAGACAGGGTCGTGAAGGAATTTCCGCCGATTCCCGGCGACAAACGGTCGTATCCGGAGACCGGGTCGTCAGTGATGCTGCCAATTCGTTTAACAGGGTACCCGCCGGATCTATTTCCGACGGTGGAGATTCTGGTCTGCGGCGGCAACCATGGTGGCGCGTTTCTTAAAGCAGAGAAGCACATATACGAACCCGCATCGCGCACGTGCGGGCGCATGAGGATGACCGACCCGAACCCGACTTGGTCCATGGAATACATGCCAATGGGTCGGGTCATGTCGGATATGTTGATTCTACCCGTCGGTGACGTGATCATTCTCAACGGCGGGTCGAGGGGGACTGCCGGGTGGGAGTACGGGGAAGACCCGGTTTATAACCCAATCATTTACAAACCCAACGAGTCCGACCCGAGTATGCGATTCTCTGTGCTCGCCCCCACCACAATCCCAAGGATGTACCACTCATCGGCCATCTTACTGCCAGATGGCAGAATATTAGTGGGCGGGAGCAATCCCCACGCAAGGTACAACTTCACAGCGCCGAGGTACCCCACGCAGCTGAGCTTAGAAGCATTCATCCCACCGTACCTTTCCCCGGCCTACTCTTACCTCCGCCCTTCGATCCTCTCGATCGAGTCAGGAAGTGGCGGGAACGCGATATCGTACGGTGAGAGATTCTCCATCACGTTCACGCTGGGAGGGATGATGGACGGTCGAGATGGAGGGCTCACCGTAAGCATGATTGCACCCTCATTCACCACACACTCTTTCGCCATGAACCAGCGCATGTTAGTGCTGGATATTTCGGCGCTCGATAGACTCTCCCCGCTGGCGTACAGGGTTACGGTGTACGCGCCTCCGACGCGTAACATTGCACCGCCGGGGTATTATATGGTGTTTGTGGTCTACCGGAGCACCCCTGGACACAGTATCTGGATCAGGATGGTTTGACTGCTGGTCAACTTCTAACCTCTGCATGCATTGAATTGTTGGTAGCTAGATATTCAGAATGTTCTAAATACATGTACGGATGCATTCTGATTGTTATAGAAAAAGTAAATTTAGTCACAGATGTAATTGCATATGTAAAACAGAAGATTGATTAAAATAAGTTATTTGTTGTATATGAATGAAGTGTAAGAGTTTTTAAAGGCATACATTTTCTCAAAGTGATCACTACTTCTGCCAGGATTTGGTGCAAGAATGTGTTGGTATCAGGGGCGGAGTTAGGGTACTGGGCCGGTACAAAGAATATTTTTGGAATTTTTTTTACACATAATTTTTTAAACTAAAAATAAAAGCATTTTTAAAATTTGGGCTGGGTCAGGGCCAGGGATGGCCCTCCCCTAGCTCCGCCCATTGTTGGTATTACCTATGGACTATGGTCTAAGGCCGGGACTCCTGGCCCGGGAGGTTTGACCTGAGGAACTGGTGATCGGAGAAACAACGCGATGGCTAGAGCCATAATATGTAAAACAAAAGATTGATTTAAACAGTGGCGGAGCCAGGGCACTGGACCGGACTTAGCCGATACAAAGAATTTTTCGCAAAAAATTATACACAGAATTTTTTACCTAAAAAATACTACGTAGTAGTATAATATAGACGTTTTTAAATTTGGGCTGGACTGGGACCAGGGTTGGCCCCTCCCTAGCTATGTGTTCTGCTTGTGCCGGGATTTGCTGTAGGAATGTAGTCTGGTATGACCTATAGTCTAAGTCCAGGACTCCAGTCACTCCCAGCCCGGGAGGTTCGAGCTGAGGAACACATGATTGGAGAAACAACGCGGTGGCTGGAGCCATAATGGGAGCAGCACTAGCTCTCAAGCACAACGAATGATCATTCTCAAGAGTAGGTGATCCAGTGTGCTATTACACGAGCAGCCTTCTCCACTCAGTCCACTGGAGTAAATGTTCTTAGAGGCATATTTTGAGGGGCATTTTGGTCTATATCCCCTGCAGAAACATATTTTGAGGGGCATTTTGGTCTATATAACAATGTCCTCAGAGGCATATTAATTTTGTGGGGCATTTTGGTGTATATTTTGAGCAGCCATCTCCTCTGCAGGAACAAATATATGTTTCTGCTTGCTCTGTCATATTGGTAGCTGCCATGGAAATCTTCTCTTAAGATTCTCAACTACTTTCAATTTGGACATTGCAAATGAAGATGTTATAAGTTGTAAAAATATATGAAGTGTAAGACTTATACATTAAGAGGTAAATGTCAGATTGGTACTTGAAGTTGCATATAAAGGTTAAAATAAAAAAAGGTGTACCTTAAATAAATAGTACAAGTACTTCATCTTTACCTAAGTTTCTGAATTCTAACTTGGTTGAACTTATTGCCTCACCCTAAAATAACCAAAATATAGTGTATGATTTTGTACTACTTTCTGTCAAGTAATTTCATCTTTCTTGGCCAAATTGTTTGTAATCTGTCACGCCCCAGACCGTAATCCAAGCGCGTGTACAACTAGGGCTGGGAAAAAACTCCCGACTCCCGACTCCCGATCCCGATCCCGACAATCCCGATCCCGAAAATCCCGATCCCGACAATCCCGATCCCGACTAGTCGGGAATTTTTCCCGATCCCGACTAAGTCGGGACGGGACCGGGATTTTTTTTAAAAAAAAGTCGGGATCGGGAAAATCCCGACATCCCGACATTATATACACACACACACACACACACACACACACATGTATATAATTATATATGAATATATAAAAAATGAATATGTATCTAAATATTTACACATCTTTTTTAATTACTTATTCCTTACATAAATTAATCTTTTACTACGAGTATCTTACAATATCAAACTTCTAAAACTATTCGGCATTTGTCCGAAAATGAATATTCGGGATCCTAACTAAGTAGAGATTATTCTTGATCCCAACAATCTAAATCACAACATACAATATTACAAATTTTGCGGTTCTGATGAACTCTTTAAAAAATTATGATCGAGACTAAGATTTCTTTCTTTAGTAGATAATCATAATATGTATTTACACATTATATTCATTGGTCACAAAGTTTCTCAATGAGTCTACTTAGTTTTGAATTTTAAATAATATACGTTACATATCCTTCTTTTAGTGTTTTTTATATATTGTTTGAAGTAAGTTTCACTAAGCCTTGATAGCTTATTCAAAAATTATACTATTAATTAATTGAAGTTACACATAAAAATTATTCTAAAAGTATATACTAGTGTGTGTTTGAGATGATAATTATTACACTAATTTTTATAAGTAGATGATGATAAATATGGTATAACAGTAAACAAAGAATAATATTGAAACCACTAAATATCAAAGTTAGTGTTTAATTAAAGAAATTACATAATTTTATGTTTGATACTTCATTGTCGGGATTTAGCGGGATTAAGCGGGATTCCCGATCGGGATCCCGACTTAATCGGGATTTTAATGTCGGGATCCCGACTTAATCGGGACGGGATACGGGATCCTCTTTTAGTTTGAATCGGGATCGGGACGGGATCGGGATTTGGGCAATCGGGATCGGGATCATCCCGATCCCACCCCTATGTACAACCGCCGTATAACCAAGTGACGTCACCCACGAGTCAACCTCACTTAATTACACAAGGCGTTCGAGAAAACAATCCATCCATACTCAGTAGTAAACATACATAACAACATCACATTTAAACCAATGAATAGCGGAAATATTCAACGGTAAGTCATGGGCCACAACCGGCCAACAACATGGGCATGCAAGCCCCAAAAATAGTTTATAGTAAAACAAATATCCATGAGCAAGTGTTCGGTAGTTTGAAAGAAAACAAGGAAGCACGAACCACGTCTTCCTGATTTGATATCACCCGTGAGAAGGTGCAAGTAGCAAGCTCTAGCTTCAACCTGAAAATGGTGGGGCCCCCCGAAGGGGTCAGTACAAGTACCGAGCGAGTAGCAGGCTAAATATAGAATAACTAGCGTTTCAAGTATAAGACCCAAACATAGGGTGATACTTAAATAGATGGTCTTTCCCCCCAAGTTATGAAATACTTATTAGTATATATATATATACTTGGAAAATATCCGATCCGTAGATCACCATTTTATTTGGGAAAAATAGTATTAGTCAATATTCTTGACTAAAAACCCCAACCCACCCATATACCTATGAGTGTATAGGACTCCTCCTTGTCCCTATTTGTATATCATAATCTATGAGTTTTAGGATCAAAATCCTCGGATACTCCACCGGTTTGTGAGTGTTAAGGCCTCATAAGTCCTAGGGTCCTCCACCAAGTTTTGAGTGTTAAGTACTTTTAAGTACTAGGGTCCTCCACCAAGTTTGAGTGTTAAGTACTTTTAAGTACTAGGGTCCTCCACCAATTTATAATCCGAGTGTTAAGGACTTTAAGTCCTAGGGTCCTCCACCAAATTTTGAGTGTTAAGTACTCTTAAGTACTAGGGTCCTCCACCAATTTATAATCCGAGTGTTAAGGACTTTAAGTCCTAGGGTCCTCCACCAAATTTTGAGTGTTAAGTACTTTTAAGTACTAGGGTCCTCCACCAAAATATTTGCCTATGATCAACCTTCTATCAACCTAGATAGAGTCTATATCATACTTAGTTACTCATAACTAATTCAATACATAAAGCTTATGTATCACAATCCATGCAAAGCCATGCAATTATATAAATACATAATTAACTAATATCAACCGATATTAATTAATCCTTTATCCATCGGTCAACGTTGTCGTTGACCGCCATTTCAAGTCTTACACTTATCAACTTAATCATCATGTAATTAAGTTAATAATATTCATTTGTGCATCTTATACATTTCAAACAAATATGTATTTTATATAATTCTTCATATCATATTCCATGCACAAACAATATATTTCTTTCATACAATCTTAACCCTATTGGCTAATCACATGTTTAAATATCTTTTAAACATCATTATGAACTCATATAACATTTATTTAGGTAATCTCATAATTAACCCAAAAGTTATAAGATATTAAGCCGTCCACTCACCTTGAACTAGCGTTAAGAAGTTCTACCCTTCTTGGTTGAACTCCGGTGAAACTCCGGCGACTTGGTCAACTCCGGCGACAACTCTGGCGACTTTTTCCAACTTTGTGAAATCACTTGAAATACCCTTTACAAGTGCCTAACAAGGTTTTATAATCATAAAACCCATATTAATACAAATAACCTCAAAACGGTTATTTTCCGGTGAACCGGTCGTTTTGACTTCTAAGTCCGTTCTTGGACATAGAATCACTTTCCAACCCATTAATCCATACTTATAACATGTGGAACCATACTAAGGGTCCTTCACATGATATATACCTCATATGGTAGAAAGAAAAATGAAGAGAAGTTATAATAAGGTCATTACCTTAATTATTCACACTTTTCCCCACTTTTTCCCTCTTTAATCCTCTCCTTTGGACCCCTTTTTCCTTGAGCTCGTGCTGCAGCAATGGAAGCTAGTTTGAGAGCTCTCTCTTGCCTCTCCTTGGTGCTTTGGTCGAGTACAATGATGAAGGAAGAGGGGGATGGGTTCTTTTTGTCCCATTGAGCTAATAAGGGTGGGAGGGACCCCTTTGATGTCTCCAATTGTCTCACCCTCCCATCAAGTGTACTACCAGCTCTCATCTAGTCAATTTGAGCATATAAAAACGTGGGGTGGCCCCCACTCATGTGGGAGGTCATCCCTTTGTGTCCGGTGTGTACAATCGGTCCCGAAAGTTGTATTTTTCGGACTGTTTTAATCATATTTTATTTTATCGGGAAAGATAAAATATATTATGTGTTCTCAATCATAACGCCCCTTTGAATTAATATATATTCCAAAAATTTAATTTGGAAGTCTTCGAAATTCATTTTCGGACTGTTATCCGTTAATTTACCAGTACCGGAAATTTGGGCTTCATTTGACCAATCGGTCAACTCCGGGTCTTTCCATGGCCCAGATGAAATATCCACCACTATATATTTATTATCTAGACCAAGATGAATAAAATATATAGTCTCGGAGATGTCGGGCCGCCCCCCCGCTCCCGGTGTGGGTCTCACGTGCAATTTACTATTCATGCGAAAGAAATAATAAAAATTTACAACTTCGTAATTTCATTAATCCTTTAATAAGGTTCAATACATTATTTACATAAAAGTAAATATATTTGGGGACGGTGTTACAAGTTCACCCCCCCTTATTTGGGATTTCGTCCCCGAAATCCAAGTATCTAATCGAAAAGAAATGGGTATTGCTCCCTCATTGAGACCTCGGTCTCCCAAGTTTCTTCTTCGACTCGATCACTCCTCCACAGAACCTTTACCATAGGAATCTCCTTATTCCTAAGCTTCTTCACTTGTTGACCAACAATCTTCACTGGTTCCACCGCATATTGCAAGTCCTCACGGATCTCTACCGGCGGTTTCTCAAGAACATGAGATGGGTCTCGTATGTACTTCTTAAGCATTGATACATGAAACACGTCATGTATCTTCTCAAGTTCAGGCGTCAACTTGAGACGGTAAGCCACGGCCCCTATCCTTTCAAGGATCTCAAACGGACCTATGTATCGGGGGTTAAGCTTCCCCCTCGATACGAATCGGATGATGCCCTTCCAAGGGGAAATCCTTAGGAAGACCTCATCACCGACTTCGAACTCCAACGGTCTCCTCCGTTTATCAGCATAACTCTTCTGTCGGTCCTGAGCGGCCTTCAGTCTATCCCGAATGATCCTCACCTTGGCCTTGGTGATCTCAACCAGCTCTATCCCTTCGAGTTTGGCCTCGCCAACCTCGTCCCAACACAACGGTGTTCTGCACTTCCTCCCATACAATGCCTCATATGGAGGCATGCCGATACTTGCCTGATAACTGTTGTTATAGGCAAACTCCACTAGGGCCAAATGCTTGTCCCAACTTCCCTGGAACTCCAAAGCACATGCCCTAAGCATGTCTTCCAAAATCTGTATCACCCGCTCGGACTGTCCATCCGTCTGTGGGTGAAAAGCTGTGCTAAACTTCAGTTTAGTCCCCAAAGATGCTTGAAACTTTGGCCAAAATCGGGATGTGAATCGTGGATCCCTATCCGAGACAATGGATATTGGGACTCCATGTAATCTCACGATCTCCTCCGTGTAGAGCTTGGCCAATCTTTCAAGAGGATAAGTAATGTTGATAGGCAAAAAGTGTGCACTCTTGGTGAGCCTATCAACCACTACCCAAACTGCATCATAGTTGTTCACTGTTCGTGGTAGCCCCACCACGAAGTCCATGGTCACGTGCTCCCACTTCCACTCTGGGATGGTGAGTGGCTGCAAAAGCCCTGCCGGGTGCTGATGTTCTGCCTTAACTTGCTGGCAAGTAAGGCATCGACTCACATACTCTGCAATGTCCCTCTTCATACCTGACCACCAGTAACTTTCCTTCAAATCTCGGTACATCTTAGTACCTCCTGGATGCATAGCATAAGCTGAAGAATGAGCCTCCTCAAGTATAGACTTCTGGAGCTCCTCATTCTTTGGTATGCACACACGATCCTTAAATAATAAAAGACCGTCATCACGTACTCGGAAGTTCTCAACGGGTCCTTCAAGGATTCTTTCGCGGATTTTCTGACATTCTTCATCAATGGCCTGACTTCGACTAATCTCACCCAATAGGGTGGGCCTAACCTCAAATTGAGCAATGAGAGCCCCGCACGTGGATACCTCCACGCGTGCCCTCAATGCCTGCAGACAAGTAAGTAACGTCCCCGCCGTACTCTTCCTGCTCAGTGCGTCGGCCACTACGTTGGCCTTTCCGGGATGATAGTCGACGATCAAGTCATAGTCCTTGATCAACTCCATCCATCTCCTTTGTCTCATATTCAACTCTTTTTGAGTGAATACATACTTCAAGCTCTTATGATCGGTATAAATGTGACACGTTTCCCCGTAGAGATAATGCCTCCAAATCTTCAATGCAAACACTACCGCCCCCAACTCTAGGTCGTGAGTAGGGTAATTCACCTCGTGTTTTCTCAATTGCCTAGAAGCATAGGCAATCACCTTACCGTTTTGCATTAGTACACATCCAAGCCCTTGGATGCTAGCATCGCTGTAAATGTCATACCCTATCCCCTGTATGGGTAGGGCAAGGACTGGTGCTTCGGTAAGTCGTTTCTTCAGTTCAAGGAACCCTTTCTCACACTTGTCGTCCCATATGAACTTGGCCCCTTTCTTTGTGAGCTTCGTTAATGGAGACGCCAATACGGAGAATTTTTCAACAAATTTACGATAGTATCCCGCTAAGCCAAGGAAACTACGTATCTCTTTCACATTCTTGGGTCTCTCCCAATCCATGATAGCTTTTATCTTTGCGTTATCCACAGCTACGCCCGAACCGGATATGACGTGACCGAGAAAGCCAATCTCCTTGAGCCAAAATTCGCATTTAGAGAACTTGGCAAAGAGTTGCTTTTCCCTTAGCCGATCAAGTATAAGCCCCAAATGATGCTCGTGCTCCTCCTCACTCTTGGAGTATATCAAGATATCATCAATGAATACTATCACAAATTGATCTAAGTATTCACTAAACACCCGGTTCATCAAGTCCATGAATGCCGCCGGTGCGTTGGTTAAACCAAATGACATTACAAGGAACTCGTAATGACCATACCTAGTGCGGAATGCACTCTTAGGTATGTCGCTCTCCTTGATCTTCAACTGATGATACCCCGACCTCAAATCAATCTTCGAGAACACTATTGCCCCCCGAAGTTGGTCAAACAAGTCATCAATCCTCGGTAAGGGATACCTGTTCTTGATTGTGACCTTGTTCAATTGTCGGTAGTCAATACACATTCTTAGTGTACCATCCTTCTTCTTCACGAAGAGTACGGGTGCCCCCCACGGTGAATGACTGGGTCTGATGAACCCGTTGTCCAGTAATTCTTGTAGTTGGACCTTCAACTCTTGGAGTTCGGCCGGTGCCATTCGATAAGGAGGAATCGAAATGGGTTTGGTTCCCGGCTCCACTTCGATTACAAATTCAATCTCTCTATCGGGTGGAAGCCCCGGTAGGTCCTTGGGAAAGACGTCTGGGTACTTGCACACGACTCGAACATCCTTGACGTCGACTTCTTTCTTCGTATCATCTACCACGTAAGCAAGGTATGCGTGGCATCCCTTCCTCATCATCTTTCGTGCTCTCATCACGGATATGATACAAGCATTAGATTTCCCCCGATCTCCTTCAAAACATAGCATGTTTCCTTGCTCATCCTCGAGCTCCAACACCTTGGTGTAGCAATCTACTCGAGCATGGTGCTTCTCAAGCCAATCCATTCCTAGGATTGCATCGAACTCCAACATGCTTAGAGGTACGAAATCACAAGTCAAAAGTTGGCCCGTCACTTCCACCTCACATGATGGATAGTAATGATTTCTCTCCACATCGTCCCCTAACGGTGTGGAGACTAGCAACGTTTGCGTCATAGGTGTCAATGGCACGTCAAGGCCCCCGGCGAACGCCTCACTCACAAATGAGCGTTGTGCCCCGGTATCGATGAGGATCCTCGCACACCTACCATTGATCTTTAATGTCCCTACATTCATGAACCATGTAAGACATCTTTCCTACTCTCCTTACTCATTTACAGAAGGTTACAATGTTCACACCCACCTTACTGATCAAGAAAAGGTCTTAACGTCGCGAAAAGGTGCTAAAAACCCGGCTTTTGGCATTCTGGGTGCCAGGCACGGCGTGCCTGGGGTAGGCACGATCGTGCCTGGCTCGGGAGGAAGCCAGGGAGCTACTGCACTGCAGACACGATCGTGCGTGCCTTAGGCACGATCGTGTCTGGGCTGGAAAAACGCGGATCGCCACTGACCCGTAGACACGATCGTGCGTGCCTTAGGCACGATCGTGTCTGGGCTGGAAAAACGCGGATCGCCACTGCCTCCCAGGCACGACGCCAGGCACGGCGTGCCTGCGGCCGTGCCTGGCCCAAATTTTTTTTTTTTTTCCTTCTTTCTCTTCGGGTGCCACTGCCTTCCAGGCACGATTCCAGGCACGGCGTGCCTGAGGGCGTGCCTGGCCGGCAGTGGCTGTTTCCAGCCAGATTCGGCCTAACTCACCCGGTTCGACCCCGGGGTGGCCCACACTCAATCCCAACGACGTATATGATCAAAGTAAGCCTAGAATTACATGGGAATACGCGTATTACCTGCAACGGAGTCCGGGTTTGCTCTCGCATCCGCCTCGGTCATCGCGTAGACTCGTGCTTGGGTCCCGCCTTGGTTTACGGACGCGGCATGACTTGTGGATGCGTTGCCTCTTCCCGTACCGCCGTTTGACGGGCCCGCACGGTTTCTTCCCGTCATGGTTCCTCCTCCGGATCCCGGAGCCCCTCCTCCCCCCAATTGTGGGCAATTGGCCTTCATGTGGCCCGTGTTCCCACACCGATAACACCTCGGGGGTGCGTTGCACTTCCCGAAGTGGTTCTTTGAACAGTTGGCACACCTAGGAGGCCCCGTATTTTGAGAGGAGGATGCGTGCCACCGAGCATCCTTGTTCTTCTTCGCCGGTGGTGCCGGCGCCTTGAACGTACCCCCACCCCCACCGTGGTGATTCTTCCGTGCTTGCTCGGGCGGCCCCGAATTATGCCATTTTCTCTTTTTCGCCTCCTCGGCGTCTCTTTCTTTTCTCTCATTCCATTGAGCCTCCCCAAGAAGGCCCTGCTCCACCACCTCGCTAAAGGTCATGTGGCGTGAGTACGTAGCCCGATCACGGATGTCCAAGAGTAAGGCATCCCAAAAGTGCTCCGACATGCGGTCCTCATTGATCGCGTACTCCGGTAAGAACCTAGCCAAGGTTCTAAAATCTTGCTCCAGCTGTTTAACAGACACACCTTCCTTCTGTTTGAGGTTGGTGTACTCCCTACGCTTGACATTTTTCTCATAGTCAGTGTAGTATTGGTCATAAAATTCCTGCTCAAAGTTCAACCATGAGACCTCCCCATGGTATTTTCCTTCCACACTCTCCCACCACGTGGAAGCTATCCCCTCAAGCAGCCGTGAAGCAACAGTCAACTTCACGTCCGGTGAAATTTGCATGTCCTTTGCCGCATCCTTCACCTTCTTTATCCAATCGGCGGCAACGGTAATGTCACCGGTGCCGTCAAAGGACTTACACCCCAAGGCCCTAGCCTCCTTGAGGTACTTGGAGATCCTCACACAAAAACCTCCTTCACGCCCATCATGTGACGCCGCGGGAGTGGCCCTTGAAGCTCCCCGACTTCCTTGACGCGAACCACCGCGAGAGCCACGCCTTGCTTGGCGCCTAAGGCCTCTCCTCAGTTTTTCTTTTTGATACCACTCAAGCAATTCGCCCATTTGGGCGAACTTGGCATCACTCTCTTCATCATCATCATCGGTGTATGTGTCACCCCCATCATATGGGGTCTCCTCATGCTCCATTTCAGGAACATAGGTTGAGTCATAGTCCTCGGTGTTGGTTTCATACACCGAGCTTACATGGCCATCGCTCACAGTTTGAGCTTGATGACCTCCACGGCTCCCACGGCCTCCACGGCCTCCTCTTGAACCCCGAGATGCAGCCCGGCTTCCCCTTTGGGATGCTACCGGCGCCTGCCCCCTCGGATTGTTCCTGGTCCTCATTCGCCTGCCCTCCATTTCTGAAAGAAATATGGATGAGTCATTAGACTCCTATAAATGTCAATTGACGGAAAAACGTTACAGACACGTATTGGCCCCAGTCACTACCATACCAATTGTTAAGGGTACCGTCTTAACAATTAGAGGCCTTGCAACTTTAAGCACCAATAGTCCTGTAAACGTCAAAATACAATGCTCATGGTTTTCGGTAAGAATTCTTTTGTAAAACCCTTTGTGAGAGGTTGATTATATAGTTTAGAACTGAGATGGCTCTGATACCACTTAATTGTCACGCCCCAGACCGTAATCCAAGCGCGTGTACAACCGCCGTATAACCAAGTGACGTCACCCACGAGTCAACCTCACTTAATTACACAAGGCGTTCGAGAAAACAATCCATCCATACTCAGTAGTAAACATACATAACAACATCACATTTAAACCAATGAATAGCGGAAATATTCAACGGTAAGTCATGGGCCACAACCGGCCAACAACATGGGCATGCAAGCCCCAAAAATAGTTTATAGTAAAACAAATATCCATGAGCAAGTGTTCGGTAGTTTGAAAGAAAACAAGGAAGCACGAACCACGTCTTCCTGATTTGATATCACCCGTGAGAAGGTGCAAGTAGCAAGCTCTAGCTTCAACCTGAAAATGGTGGGGCCCCCCGAAGGGGTCAGTACAAGTACCGAGCGAGTAGCAGGCTAAATATAGAATAACTAGCGTTTCAAGTATAAGACCCAAACATAGGGTGATACTTAAATAGATGGTCTTTCCCCCCAAGTTATGAAATACTTATTAGTATATATATATATATACTTGGAAAATATCCGATCCGTAGATCACCATTTTATTTGGGAAAAATAGTATTAGTCAATATTCTTGACTAAAAACCCCAACCCACCCATATACCTATGAGTGTATAGGACTCCTCCTTGTCCCTATTTGTATATCATAATCTATGAGTTTTAGGATCAAAATCCTCGGATACTCCACCGGTTTGTGAGTGTTAAGGCCTCATAAGTCCTAGGGTCCTCCACCAAGTTTTGAGTGTTAAGTACTTTTAAGTACTAGGGTCCTCCACCAAGTTTGAGTGTTAAGTACTTTTAAGTACTAGGGTCCTCCACCAATTTATAATCCGAGTGTTAAGGACTTTAAGTCCTAGGGTCCTCCACCAAATTTTGAGTGTTAAGTACTCTTAAGTACTAGGGTCCTCCACCAATTTATAATCCGAGTGTTAAGGACTTTAAGTCCTAGGGTCCTCCACCAAATTTTGAGTGTTAAGTACTTTTAAGTACTAGGGTCCTCCACCAAAATATTTGCCTATGATCAACCTTCTATCAACCTAGATAGAGTCTATATCATACTTAGTTACTCATAACTAATTCAATACATAAAGCTTATGTATCACAATCCATGCAAAGCCATGCAATTATATAAATACATAATTAACTAATATCAACCGATATTAATTAATCCTTTATCCATCGGTCAACGTTGTCGTTGACCGCCATTTCAAGTCTTACACTTATCAACTTAATCATCATGTAATTAAGTTAATAATATTCATTTGTGCATCTTATACATTTCAAACAAATATGTATTTTATATAATTCTTCATATCATATTCCATGCACAAACAATATATTTCTTTCATACAATCTTAACCCTATTGGCTAATCACATGTTTAAATATCTTTTAAACATCATTATGAACTCATATAACATTTATTTAGGTAATCTCATAATTAACCCAAAAGTTATAAGATATTAAGCCGTCCACTCACCTTGAACTAGCGTTAAGAAGTTCTACCCTTCTTGGTTGAACTCCGGTGAAACTCCGGCGACTTGGTCAACTCCGGCGACAACTCCGGCGACTTTTTCCAACTTTGTGAAATCACTTGAAATACCCTTTACAAGTGCCTAACAAGGTTTTATAATCATAAAACCCATATTAATACAAATAACCTCAAAACGGTTATTTTCCGGTGAACCGGTCGTTTTGACTTCTAAGTCCGTTCTTGGACATAGAATCACTTTCCAACCCATTAATCCATACTTATAACATGTGGAACCATACTAAGGGTCCTTCACATGATATATACCTCATATGGTAGAAAGAAAAATGAAGAGAAGTTATAATAAGGTCATTACCTTAATTATTCACACTTTTCCCCACTTTTTCCCTCTTTAATCCTCTCCTTTGGACCCCTTTTTCCTTGAGCTCGTGCTGCAGCAATGGAAGCTAGTTTGAGAGCTCTCTCTTGCCTCTCCTTGGTGCTTTGGTCGAGTACAATGATGAAGGAAGAGGGGGATGGGTTCTTTTTGTCCCATTGAGCTAATAAGGGTGGGAGGGACCCCTTTGATGTCTCCAATTGTCTCACCCTCCCATCAAGTGTACTACCAGCTCTCATCTAGTCAATTTGAGCATATAAAAACGTGGGGTGGCCCCCACTCATGTGGGAGGTCATCCCTTTGTGTCCGGTGTGTACAATCGGTCCCGAAAGTTGTATTTTTCGGACTGTTTTAATCATATTTTATTTTATCGGGAAAGATAAAATATATTATGTGTTCTCAATCATAACGCCCCTTTGAATTAATATATATTCCAAAAATTTAATTTGGAAGTCTTCGAAATTCATTTTCGGACTGTTATCCGTTAATTTACCAGTACCGGAAATTTGGGCTTCATTTGACCAATCGGTCAACTCCGGGTCTTTCCATGGCCCAGATGAAATATCCACCACTATATATTTATTATCTAGACCAAGATGAATAAAATATATAGTCTCGGAGATGTCGGGCCGCCCCCCCGCTCCCGGTGTGGGTCTCACGTGCAATTTACTATTCATGCGAAAGAAATAATAAAAATTTACAACTTCGTAATTTCATTAATCCTTTAATAAGGTTCAATACATTATTTACATAAAAGTAAATATATTTGGGGACGGTGTTACATAATCAACATGTAAAAATGTAGCTCAAGAAGCGATAAACGTTATTTGAAGTATCATAAGGAGGAACAAAATGCCCTTTTTAACCCCAAACTAAATATTCTTATTCGCGAGTTTCATCTTTGAACTGGATCAGACTCACTCCTAATTTCCTTCTGTTCTTGAAAAAAATGTTGATTATATAAAATGTGTAAAACAAGCTAGGTGAGGAAAAATTAATCAAGATTTACTCCGTAACTTTTATTCATTTGAAATACTCCCAATTTTTATCTGCTCGCATATTATGATCGAATTCTCCGTTTAGCACTCGTGATACATATGGCTAGGAGGGAGTCGGTGACCCCGGGGCGGCCCCTTTCGGGCCTGCCACTGCATGTAGGGCGCGCTTATGGAAATAAAGAATGATGAAAGAAGCTATAAATATGGGTAGATATGTATGGTCGATTAATATAGGTGAAGAGGATGGTGATGGACATGAATATAAGATGGTCACTGTCACAAAGGGAGGTTGGTAGCAGGGGAAACCCACTACTCATGAGACTTGTCATTATATTTGACAGTGAGGATCCAAGCTAGCTAGCAGCCATACATGACGCATTCTAACTTCTAAGTGATGGGGACTCTTCCTAAAAATAAACGAATTTCAGTTTTACTGGAATACTCAAACTTGTTCTTGTTTTGGCCTGGCCCTGGCTCATTCTATTTGTATTATAAGTGGAGCCATTCTATTTAAGTTAATGAAAAGAACTATAAAAACATGACCAAACAAATTTCTTTCATTGTCCATTTGTTTAATAATGAATTTAGACACAAAACATCTATTGTGAATAAGATGGACTAAATGACAATAATCATGTGTGTATACACAAATTTGAGTTGCATTAAGCCACTGGCGGAGCCAGAAAATGACCACGGAGGTCGAAGGCTTAACTAAATACGTATTACAAATTAGACAATGGTAGTTTGCGGAGCCAGAAAATGACCACGGAGGTCGAAGGCTTAACTAAACACGTATTACAACTTAGACAATGGTAGTTTGAATGAGATTAAGAGCCCCTTTGGTAACAATTAAGCTGAATCGGCTGATTCAGCTGAAATTTATGAAGTTCTCGTTGAAGTGGTTATATTGCTGATTCTGTTGATTTATGAAAAAATAAATTTAAAATATATTTTATTAATAAAATAAAGAAAAAATTATTTGAAACATAGCCAAAATGGTCATTTACAGTAACTTCAGCCACAAAAGTAACTCGAAACTTACTTTTTTTTAATTATTACACAATGCAGCGTGTGAAACCAAAAATTAAGTGTTTGGTTAAAAAATTGGCTGATAAGTCTGATAAGCTGAAAAACAAAATCACCAAACCAGATCTAAGAGTCACAAGTTTGATATATATGTCACATAAACAACAATAGACTTCAGGTAAGTAATGAGTGTTGCAAACTTTATTTTAAAATTTGAGAATCGAATTAATACTCCCTATCAAATTGAACTCATTTCATTTCTTAGGAGCCATAATAGTTCGTATATAAAAACCAATGTATTTCATTACTCTCTATTCTCAAACTTTCATGTGATGGCTCACCATCATGACTCCCCTCACTCCTCCGTTCCACCGATAGTACAAATAATGACAACAGTTGATTAATGAGATAAATGAAAAAAATTACACAAACATTTGGTTGCACCAAGCTTCTAATCCATCGTAATGTGGTTGTTTAATATAATAATATAATCATACTCCTAAATATCAATAGTGGCTTCGTTTACTCATATTCGTATTAGCATTTCATTAATGATAAACCCAATTACCCAAATGAGTTGGATACTTGGATAGACCGTCACGATCTTCATAACAGGCACAAGTGCACAACAATTCAAAATTGAGGTTGTACACAGAAATTATGACAACTACTGTTTCCAAAGAACTAATAAATACGGCGAAATTGATTGACAATCATAATGCCTAATAATTCACTCCCCGTCTAAAAGGCCGTTTGACAACACTGTTTTTTCGCTTATCAGGCTTATCAGCCAATTTTTTCACCAAACACGTATCTTTTGATACGTGCTAAATTGTGTAATAAGCAGAAAAAATAAGGTTGGAGCTACTTTTCTAGCTGTATTGGCTGAAATTACTGTAGATAGATGACCATTTTAGTTTTTTTTACATATAATTTTTTCTTTATTTTAATAATAAAACATATTTTAAATATAATTTATTTCTTAAAACAACAGAATCAGCCAATGCAGCCACTTCAGCCAGAACTTCATAAATTTCAACAGAATCAACCAAAACAGCTGATTTTCGTACTACCAAACGGTCTATAAAAGCATCCACTTTGATCTCCTCAATTTTACAGTTTTTTATGGTTGAGTATTGCCATGTCACTTCCATATAAGAAAACCCCAATAATCGTCAAACCAAAAAAATTCTCCTCAACCATGATCTTAATTTACCAAGATATTTTATGAGACATACACTTAATTCAAGACAACAAATTACATGCACAATTCCTTAAAAAAGACGTAGTAATTAAGAGTATGCCTAGAAAATTGAGAGAGGAGTCTAAAAATTGGAAATAATCTTCAAATAATATAAATTTAAAATTTGATCCCAATTTTTTATCAAATAATCTTTTTAAATAATCCTAAAATCTCAATCATAATCTTAAAAAATATCATCCACATCATCAAAATAATCCATAAATAATCCTATGAATGGATGAGGATGCCGTAATACTATTTCTGTCCCATTAACCTAAGAAATAAAATGGATGATGGTGCGGTTACTCAGAAAAATGATTTATGTCATTTATATTGAATAGATAATCTGAAAATGAAGTAAAATGATTTTGAATCACACAGTACTATTGAATTTGATATGAGACAAGGTTAATTGGATGAACAAAAAAGAAAAGGTTACTCTACTCTCCAAACAAATATTGTCAAACTTAGTATGATACCGGCCATATTAAAAAGAAAGAGGAAGTGCCTTGTACGTATATATAACTTCTCAGTTTGTGTCACTACTTTTCAATAAAATGATACTTCCATTTACTAATTTAATAGAGCAAGACTGACAAGTAGCCCTGGATGCACATAATTTAAGACACAATGGGATGGCAATGGGGCGGGTTTGGGGCGGGGTACACTCCCCTATCCCTGCCCCATGTCTAAAAAGTTCCCTCATCCCCACCCCATCCCCCGTTACTCTCAGACCCGCCCCATCCCCGCCCCATCCCGTTGTTCCCACGGGTGCCCGCGGGTGCCCCCGTATTGATTTAATTTATCGTATTTGCATATACTTTTAACTCATTATAAAAAAATATATGGTGCAGTTCCAGTGAGAATGATGCTTAACGTGAGAACGTGAGAATACTCCCATTTAATCCAATGTGATACACAATAGAGTCCTTCTAGTGCACATATTGACTTTGCTCAATACCAGCTAATAGAAATAATCACGGTGACACTTTTGTAAATATTATGTTTGATACGAAAAATTGCATTGTGCGAGCCTCATTGTGCGTCACATTGGGGTAAATGTCGTGTTCCCACGTTCTCACGTTAAGCATTGTTTTAATTTGATCCTAAATCTATATATATCTACACACACAAACACATACACATACATATATGCAACACTGAAGTATTGTGTTTGTTAAAAGTTAATACCGCCGATTTTAATAATTCTTCAATTTGGATGAGTTTTGTGAATTGAAGACAGTTAAAGTAAAAATATAAGTAAACATATTATAATTATGTACGTCGTTCCAAAATTTTCAACAATTATAATACAATTAATTACATGTTACATATAAATGTAGGTGTATTTATTTACTCACTTTGTCACTCTTAAAACTTATACGGTGTATAACATTTATGATAAATATTTTTAATCATTACTAGCTTATTATTATTCTAGTATAATATGTATTAATTCGCTAACCATGACTAAAAGGTATACAACTATGTATGTCTATACGTATATGTATATGTATATGCGTTTGTTATATACAACATAAAAATTATGTTTGTACATTATTTATGTGTGTGTGTGTGAGAGTATATATATTTATAACGGGGGCGGGGCGGGGACGGGGCGGGTGTAGCAATTCCCGTCCCCCGCCCCATATTTTAACGGGGTAAAAATATCTTACCCATCCCCGCCGCCGCCCCACTCCAAGCCCCGCCCCATCCTTCCCCACGGGGCGGTTCCCCATGGGTCCCCGCCCCCATTGCCATCCTTAACAATGACTAACATGTATGGGTAGCTCAGTTGGCGGTGAGAAAGTTTGAGATTTTTCAAGGATTGAAACTCACAGCAACCAGGTGGAGGTTACAGCTCATGTGTGCAGGAAACAACCTCTAGCCTAGTGCGCACGAGTACAAGGTCTATCATTATTGGACTGATGAGT